TGCTAATTTAATTTTCTCTCATTATGAGAGTTATAATTTACATGTAGTTGTTGAGCTGGGGCGGATTTAATAATTGGTTGTTAGTTTTTTATTGACTTTTTAATTATTGTGAATTAGTGATCTGTTTGATTATATAAATATTTTTCATAATTATAATTACTTTCTTATCTCTGTTATCGATTAACAAAATAAAAAAATTATCATTCTATAAACAAATGCATGAATTTTAGTTGTTAAATAATACCCGAATCTTTGGACAATACTCACTCTTAAAATCAGCTTACAAAAGGTAAGTGCATGTGCAAGATTTAAGAGAGACTTAGGTGTACGTCTTAATAAGTGAACTTATTAACCAATAGGTCTTATGATAATTAATGACGTTTTCCATCAAGTACCATTAAAAAATGTCACTAATTGTTAATTTTCAGCGACAGTTTGAAAATTGTCACAAAAATGTCACTAATGATAATTTAGCGACAGTTTAAGAAAATCATCACAAAAAATTAATAATTTTCAACTTTTAGCAACAGTTTAAAAAATTCGTTATAGAAAAACGTCAGTAATTATAAGTTTAGAGATAATTTATAAAAATCCTGACAAAAAAAAGTCACAAATTGTCAATTTTTAGAGACATATGCAAAAAATTGTCGTAAAGATTATTTTTAGCAACAATTTTATTAGAGCTTACTTTCAATAGGATAAAAAACTTTAGTTAATAAAAAAAAATATTCTGAATCTCTCTTAAAAGGATATTCTTTTTTGCTAATAGAGAGGAATATTCCACTCATTTTTCCTTTTCAAAATGACTGCTTAAAAGGATATTCTTTTTGGCTACTTTTTATCCAACCATCGATACTCTTGGCGGGCCACTTTCTCCCCTAATGAAGACAACCAAGTCAATTTACCTTTCTTTTTTTTTAATTTAAATTTTATTCCACGATCGATTTTCAGAAATTATTCAATATTTTTAGAACAAATTCTAATAGTGTTCCAATGTAATAATTATTGATCTAAATTATATGACCCACTACTTTTATATTAGAGTTTTAAGAAACAACTGATTAAATATTAATCTATAAATAGAACAGAATATTGCTACAGAGACATTGAATAATCTCTCGATTGGTAGATAAATTTAATCATTTACATCAAACAATACCTCTAGCAAATTAATGTTCTACAAACTTTAAAAAAAAAAATGTTTTATAAAATTTTTATTCATCAATGTTGAATTTAATATCGCTTCCAAATTAATGTTATACAAACTTAAAACGTTTATAAATATTTTTATTAATTAATGTTGAATTTATTATATTATTGAGGACTTTTAAAATTAAAAATTTTTATTATCAATGTATATAATATTTTTCTTTACAAAACAAATACCATAATTTTATTCTATTTATTTGTATACCAAAAGTGTCATGTGAAAATCAGGAAAAGTTTAGAGAGAACTATATGCAAGTAGGAGAAGAGAAAAAAAAAAAATTACCAAACATATGAAGAGGGGCAATAATTTCTTATTTATATCCACCACAGACATATTTACAATCCTCATATGTTACTATTTTTTATTTTTTATATTCCTTCTCTCACTTACATCAAGTTTCTCATAATTGGTTCTTGCTTAGTTGGAGTGTGGCTTTCAATTAGGTTGCATTTCATGTAGACCTTTTATTGGTGTATTTATTTGTTATGTACTTACGATGTTATCTTATGTTTTATATCAATAAATTTTTTACTTTTATTAATATACAAAAAAATAAATAAAAACATAGTTGTTTTTGGCAAACAATTGGAACACAAATGCACCATGTGTAACTTGTAATCATAAATATTGGAGATTTCATAATTTAAATCTCTAGATTTTGGCTCAATGTTAAGATTCTAACATTCAATTCAATTCAATTCAATTCAATTCATGAGTGTTATTCCTGTTTGGTTTTGAATATTTAAAAATAGTTTTTGAGTTTTTAAAATATTTGTGAAAACTCTACAAATAATTCAATAAATAAGAGAGGGGGGGAGAGAGAAAATGTACTAATTTTTGTATTTAGTGAATTTTTTAAATATTTTTTTCAAAAGTTTTGTATTTTTTAAGTGTATCTAAATTAAGTAAAAAAATATATGATTTTAAACTCAAAAACTATTCTCGAAAATCAAACCACCTTGCATACATATTTAGACATTATAATTTATTTTAAGTTAAGAGTTGATAACTTATAAATAGAATTTAAACACTCTTCTCTTAACTTTAGGGAGGAAAAAAATTAACTTATTACGTTATTTTATTGCATTAGTAACAAAAAGTTATAATGAATAATCTAGCCCAAATTTTTAAAACAAAATTTAAGTTAAAATCAGCAACACTGTTGTTTAATTTAATAAATTGAAATTTCTGCAAAATACGTTATTATAAGATTGATTCACGAACCCTATATTATTAAAGAAATAAAAATTTAAGGAATCAAAAAAGTTTTCTAAAAATGATAGTGAATTTTTTTATTAACAATATATATTTAAATTTTTGCACGGTAACACCAAGTTTTGAGTGAGTCTCAACAATAATTTCAAATTTTGACTAGTTTTATGATGTACACAAATCAAAAACATCACGAACTCGTCCAATTTTGAACTGTGCACCATTTGTTCACCTCAAAATTCAAGATTAGCTTTCTCTTTCGTTTGACCAAACTTGTTCTTATTTGATCTCTTCGTTGTGATTTTTATTTAATTTTTTTATTTTTACTTTTATTTTTTAGGAATGGAGAGATATGGTTGGTCATTTAGTGGGCTTACTTAAACCCTTCTCGGTGATCTAAATTGTTTCTTTGTAAAATTTGTTTAGCAAATCATTAATATACAAAATCAATTGATCAAATATCATAGTCATGTAATTGAATATCACTTGCACACAGCATAAGTTTATATTTACTCAAATTTGTCATATAAATATAAAATAATTTGTTAATAAGTATAATAAAGTGCACACAATGTCAACCTCAAGTAGACAAAACTTGAGGTCTGAGGGTGTACTTTCTCTAAAACTCAGTTTTAATAACCACTAGTCTCAATAAGTTCATTGGGATCATGTCTATACAGGGCGTTCACCCTGACTTTAAATGGACCCCTGCAACTGGACAATGAGATTGGTTCTCCAAGATTAGTCGAGGTGCGCATAAATTGATTTGGGTACCCAGTTATCCAAAAAAAAAAAAGTACACACAACATTGGATTCATATAATTTTTTCATAAATAATATATACATTAGGCCTTACAAAATGAACGATTTAAATCATCAAAATAAAATCTGTGTTTAGTCCTATGACTCGAACAATATCTTTTAATTCAAAATTGGAAAAGAAAGAAACATAATCCAAAAAAAAAAAAAAATGCCTTGTTTAGTTTGTGTTTCTCAAAAAATTTTGGAAAAAATTCTCTATAAATAAGTTTTCAAAAGTAATCAAACCAAACAAATTTTCTCAAAAAAATTTTTCAAAACTTGTTTGGTTTACAAGTTTTCTAAACAAATCTCTCTCTCATACACATTTATAATTTATTTTCAATTTAAATCGTTTGTCTATTTTGATTATGTAAAATCCATTAAAAAAAATTATTTTAGTCTATGAAGTCAACAAAAAATGATATTTTAGGCATTATACGTTAGCATACATTAACTTTAATGACAAAAATATTAAATTTTTATCGATTTTACTTAATAAAAATAGACAAATAATTTATATCAAAAACAAATTTTAAAAATTTAATTTTAAATTAAAAAATTATTTTATTACAATTATCAAATTCTAAGATTTTTTTCATAATTTTCGCAACATTTTGCATATAACATTTTTCTTTAAAATATATAAGGCGCTAGGGGTGGACGCGGGTTGGTTGCGGTCACGGAACCTCCAATCCGCTATCCGTCTGTCAGATTGGCGGATTGGAAAAAATCAATCTGCATCCGTCCACCAATCCGGCGGATGTGGATTGGCGGATGGATGCGAATCGGTTTGGCGGTTTAAAATTTTATATATTTTCAACATAATTCAACTTGTGCACTTACTCAAAAAAAATATATATATTGTAGTCAATGACTTAAAAAAATATTACAATCACTGCATGCCTCATCCAAAATAAGAAAGTTTGAAACTTTAGAATATTACAATCATTACATGCCTTATGCACATATTACAATCACAGCATACCTCATCCACATAAAGTATTGCAATTTGTGGTTCTTAAAATATAAAAACAATTTAAACCACCAAAATCATGAACAGAGCAGTAGTACAGATTGTATGTCTCTGTATTGTTACATCTATATCTGTTTTTGAAAACAAAAACCAACCAGCATATATCATATTTTCTATTTATTATTTTTAGAGATAGATTTAAAAACAAAAAAATATAGATAAATAATACATTTATTTTTTTCAATTCAAAAAAGATATTCAAGTTGAATTTTTTTTTCAACAGAATATTTAAACTCTTTTTTAATTGAAAACATAAACAGAATATTTAAACAAACTGAAAACATAAAGTCTTATAAATTACTAAGGGTGCTCGCAGTTTGGCGGTTCGGTTGCGGCCAAATGAATCTCAAATCCGCCATCCGTCTGCTAGATTGGTGAATTGAAAAAAATCAATCTACAACCGTCTGCTCGTCATCACGCATCCGTCTAAAATACGACAGATCAATTCGATTCGAACAATTTTGAAGAGAGTCCAAACTTTTTACAAATATAAAATTCACAAAAGTTGAAGAGAGTCCAAACTTTTTACAATGGTAAGATTGAAACCAAGTAAATGAAAGAGAAATATTAAAATAATTAAATTTATATGGAACTTATTTATTATTTGACAAAACATAAAATAATTATGAAACAGAAAATACTTATAAATTAGATACAAAAAAATGTATACATCACAATAAAATTATTATAAATTTTATAAATCACAAAAAAAAAAAAAAAAAATGATGTGCACTCATCATTTGTTTATGGAAGAGAGATAGTAGAGATTGAAGAAGAGAAGCAGTGTATTTGTGGAAGAACATATAAGAGAAGAGACCGTTAATATCACTATTCAAATTACATATATATATATACAGTATTATGTAAGTGTATAACAAGCGAAGAATCACCAACACCACCAACTTTCCCTCTCTCTCTCTCTCTCTCTCTCTCTCTCTCTCTCTCTCTTGTTCCCTCATAGAATTGTCGATTCTACAGAACAGAGGGGTGTCGGGGAAGAGAAATGTCGAGTGACGGAGACACTGAAAACTATGTGAATGGGGATTCGTTGGAGAAGGTGAAGCAGAGTGTCAGAGATCGATCTAAGGTCTGGTCAATCTGTTGCGGGTTTTTTTTTTCTTTTGGTGAGTTTTAAGTTTGCGAATCGTTTTGATTGTTTTGTTTTGATTTGGGTTGTGTTTGGTTTCTCAGAAAGTGGCTCAAACGAAAGAGATTTTGTCTGAACAAGCCGTTAAGTCGAAGGAGATGTTGTCTAAACAAGCGGTTAAGATCGCTAAACAGGCTAAAGAACATGAACGATTCATCAACAAGGTATATATATAAACATATAAATTCATGATTGAATTGATGAATCCTTATGTATCTCTATGTTCTGATGATTTGTTTCAGCATTGAACTTGTTTTATTTGAATTTTTTGTTGTTGTTAATAGGTGACTTATTTATGTAGTGTTCTTGGTTTTGGGGCATTTTGCTTTCTTTTGGGTGCCAGTGAGTACAATTTCTTGATTGAGAATTCCAAATAGAATTTTAAGAACCCTATTGATTCATGTTATATTATGTTGATTTGTTTGTTGGTTGGGTAATTTTTATCAATCAGGACCTCAAGTTATTCCCTATGTATACTGTGTGTTCTATGTAACCTTCGTTCCTCTTCGATGGATTTATTACCGGTTCATGAAATGGCACTATTATCTTCTGGTAAGTAACACATTTTTGTAATATACTATCTCGAGTACAAATATTGATCTTCTCTACTTGTTGATTTTGAATAGTTTCACAGCATCTTTAGGTCAAGTTTGGCTAACTTAAAAAAGTACACTTATTTCATCTTTTTATCTTTTTTTGATCACATCAATCAACATTTCCTCTCTACTTTTTCTACACAGGCCAAGTTTGGCTACTTAAAATAAGTACGCACTTTTTATCTTTTTATCTTTTTTCCATCACATCACCTCTCTACTTTTCTGCACATCTTTTCGTAAAAAGACAAAAAGTGTACTTATTTAGGTCATCCCAAACAACTCCATGATACAAAAACAGTCAAAAAATACACTTATTTAATCTTTCCAAACTTGGTTTCACCGGAGTTCATATTGTTGCAATGGAACTTCACTAAGGGCTGGTTTGGGGTGTCCTAAAAAAGTGCACTTTTTGTCTTTTTGGACTAAAAAAGTTGAGAAAAAAATATGAAAGTTTGGGTTAACTTTTTGGATTTTTATGAAAAAATGTGTATTAAAAAATTGTATAAAAAAAATGTGTAAGAGATGATTAGAGAGTGGTGGACCCCAGCCGTACACAATGCAGCCGTGTATTGGGGTTGGAAATTATTGGCTAATTTTTGTACAAAGCATTGGACGGTTTTGTTTGGCCCGTGGGGGTCATCACGGGTCCCATTTTAATAATCTGAACCGTTCAATGTGTGTAACTCGTCGAACACTATGTACCTACTGTGTGTTCTATGTAACCTTCGTTCCTCTTCGATGGATTTATTACCGGTTCATGAAATGGCACTATTATCTTCTGGTAAGTAACACATTTTTGTAATATACTATCTCGAGTACAAATATTGATCTTCTCTACTTGTTGATTTTGAATAGTTTCACAGCATCTTTAGGTCAAGTTTGGCTAACTTAAAAAAGTACACTTATTTCATCTTTTTATCTTTTTTAGATCACATCAATCAACATCTCTTCTCTACTTTTTCTACAATACAAAAAAATTCAAAAAATACACTTATTTAATCTTTCCAAACTTCATATTGTTGCAATGGAACTTCACTAAGTCACCAACCCATGAAATTATTTTTTCTGTTTAAAAGAGTACACAGTATTAGTGTTGTCATCATCCCTGGACGAATCAAAGGTGAAATTGGGTTAATAGAATGAGAATATGCAAGATAATATTCCATTGGCATATCCTTCTAATTTTTAATTTCCAATTTGCATAACCGATGCATAAAACAAATTTCCATTAGTCGCTTTCAATATTTCCACATACATGCTTGGTTTTCACTAGTAAAAAAAGAAAGCATTTGCGATTTGTGGTTTTAATTATTCATGGACGGCAAATATTTCTCTATCAATACTATCAGTTTGTTTGGTTCTGATTTTTAGAAAATTTTACTTTTTTATTTTCTGCATTTTAATGTTTTCAATGAATTTTTTTAATATGTTAAGCAATTTTTTTTTTTAATTTTTAGGCACACATAACCTAAATACACTTAAAAAGTAAAATATTTGTGAAAAAAAATCTTTTAAAAATGCACTAAATACCAAAAAATATATTAAAAAATACGAAAATTCAATATATTTTTCGTATTTTTGTGTGTTTATTAATTTTTTAAAATATTTTTTCACAAATATTTTACTATTTAGATACATCTAAGTAAGGTGCATCTAAAAAAGTTAAAAAAAAAATTGCTTAAAATTTAAAAAAATATTCACTAAAAACAAAAAAACACGAAAAACAAAAAACTCATAGTTTTCAAAAAATTAAATTTAGAAAACTGAAACCAACACAGCACACTATTATTTTTTTTCTTGAGACAGACTGTTGGGTGAGAAATGGCAAAAATGGGATTAATTAATCTTGTGTTTTGCAGGATTTTTGCTACTATGCTAATACTATCTTCTTGATCATGCTTCTGTTATTTCCAAGAAATGAAAAACTTTTCATGATTTGCTTCTCATTTGCCGAGGTAAGAAAATGGTTCGAAATTCCATTTTTGCAACCATCTTGATGGTTACTTTCTTTACATTTTCACTTTGTTGAATATGGCTGCAGGGGCCATTAGCATGGGCATTGATCGTTTGGCGTTGTAGCTTAGTTTTTAGTTCTGTTGACAAACTTGTAAGCGTCCTCATCCATCTTTTACCTGGTGAGTTGACCCTCCTTTGCCTGATAGGATGCTGTTGATAACATTTCCATTTTTTAAATAGAAAAGGAATATTTTTTTGATGGTGGAGCAGTATTGTAATACCCCTTACTGCATTTTGCCTCTTGTCCTTTCTGTGATTCATAATTTCTGCCCTTCTTCAATGTCTCCTTTGACTTATCAGAGTTGAGCTTCTTTATCTGTTAGTTTTTTGGTATTTTTTCTTGCCTTTGCAACAACTCTTTCAAAAAGAGCGGAAAAATTACTTACTCTTGCGTAATTACTTTCCTTAATGTTGTGTTTGGTTGGGGGATTTGAGGGGGGATTTGGAAAGAGAAATAGAAAAGGTAGGTGAAATGAGATTAAAATATGCCTAAATTTCACATAATTTTACACACCTTTTCCCGTTCCCTTTCCAAATCCCTCCCCAAATCCTCCAACCAAACACAGCATAAAAGTTGTAGACGGGTCAAAAGGCAGTTCTGTACAAGGAGAATTTTTTGAGGAGCTCATTCAGTGAAAACTACTTTTAGTCAAAAATATCTGTTCACAAGCAAAATTTCCACTCTATTGCTGTTAATTGCAATTCCTGTCACATAGGTAGTGTCAGTTCAAATGGAATATCATTCAGCTATTACTCATGGAATTTAATAGAACGTAATTTTACTGAGAATTGTGAAAAAATATTGTCTGCCCATTATTTATTTTAGTTTGTCAACGATTCTCTTTTTGTCAGAGTTTGAATTCATTAATTTTCCAAAGTAACAGGTAGTTATCACCTAATTCTTTAAAAAATTTCAGTCTGATTTATTGAATACACTTTTTCTTCTAATTTTTGCTCTTTTTTTTTTTTTTTTTTTTTTTTGGCGTTGGCTTGTATCCGTTGTGGTATAACCACATCTGCCAATTATCAACTGCAGATGACACGTAATAGAAACAATTTTCTTTTTCCCAGGGATAGTTTTCTTCATAATTCGATGGTGGGTGATGGATCGTTGAACACACCAAAATTAAATACTAAATTATACCAAATTCAATCAGAATAATGGCAAGTCCAGGTATCGATCCACAGGGACTATTGTGAAATTAAATTAATTCAATCGCAAAATTCCTAAATTAATTTTGATTAAAAAGATAAGATTGATTCTATACCTAAACAGCAATTAAATAAAATTGAAGAATTATATTGACAATTAAAATCTAGGGTTTGAGATATTAATTTTCGGGAAAAAATTCCTAGGGTAGAGAATTCACCACTAACCACATGAATGAGACTTAACATCAACCATCAATCGTAATTCGGTTTGAATTATCCAATATTTCACAACTACAAGTTTGAAATATTAATCAAGAGGGTTGTTGCATTCAATGTATAGGCACGAATCATCCCGAGTAGTACGAGTCGTTTGCTCTAAACTATGTTAGCAAAACGACCCGTCTCTGATAGCATGACTCATCTCGTATTTTGAATACAAACACAAAGAATACTAATGTATGAAAAACATTAAACAATCACAGAGAGTAAAATGCTTGAAGAGAAGAACGAAACAATTATTTATAAACTTCTAAAACATCCATACATTCATTCAAACCAAGTTACAATGAAAGCTCGTGAAAAATTCCATTACATGGCTAGGTTTCATCAAAACCCTAGAAAAGACAACTAGCCACTCATGGAGGAGTGGAAAGAGGAAGAAGATGAAGAAGAAGCCCCCATGGAAGTGTTTTCCAAGCTTTGGTAGTGTCTCCCCCTTTGGAACCCTAGCCTCCCTTCTTTCTGTATTCAATTTTTCGAACCCTAATTGTGACTGATTTTCTGTCTTTTATTCGGAGCAAAATAGACCAAAAAGTCCGTGCACGCGTCCCTAGGTTGGCCGCTCGTGCGGTGGTGGACCGCACGTGCAGTGGAACTTGGCCGCACGTGCGATGGTCTGGTGGACTCGGATTTTTCACGTCTCGCTCGGAGAATCTGATTTCGCGCCCCTTTTTGATTGAATTTTCATATTTCCTGTCAAATCTGTACAAGTGCACGAAAACACATCATCTCCACCAAATAAATAAAATTAAAAGACAAAAAATGTAACTTCAGTTGCCTAAATGTGGTACCTTTCGGCCTACATCACACCCCCCAACTTACATTTTTGCTAGTTCTCAAGCAAAACAAAAGAAATAAGAAAAGTAAAATACTCTCAGTCACTTTCGTAGGGAACACGATTGCATTTAGTATATGCAACAAGCCTTTAAACCACAAGGTTACCCCAAGTGGACGAGTATAGTCTCGTGAGGGTTTTTAGAAATGATACCTACAAACATCAACATATTCAAATCCGCTCAACAACAATTAACCATACTACTCCACACAACAACCAACTTATGTGTCACTACAGTGTGATATTAAAACATGATGATTCATTAAAGGCATAGTGGACAAGTATGAAGGAATCTATTGAGCTTAAACCACAATTCAGTTAATACAAAAGTAGAGTCCCCTGTACTTACTTGTGAATGCTAGTAGACACATCATTAGTACCCTCGGTGTAAAGTGTCAGCACCATATTAGTTAACTGTCCACTATAATAGCCCAATATAACTCATAATAACACTCAACATATACAGAAAAACTAAACTGTTGTAACCAAGCTTCTCAAATTTTTTTTTTTTTTTTAGACTGTGCAATGTCCTGATCCATTAAGCTTTCTATTGAGCCCATGTAACAAGCATTGGGCCAATGACTCCCAAACCAGACGGTTTTAGGGCACTAGGTGTAGAGGCACCCCTACGGGCTTAAACTCAAGCTGAAAAGGTTACGAATCCGAACTAGTCATTCTCTTTATTTTTCCTTAGCTGTGCAATGTCTAGGTCCCTTAAGCTTTCTAATTAACCCATATAGCAAGTATTGGGCCAATGACTCCCAAACCAGACGGTTTTAGGGCACTAGGTGTAGAGACACCCCTACGGGCACCTTAATAATCGATGTTTAAAGAGGCTACGAACCCACAAGTCTCAAGTTTGTTGTTGTTGTTTTGTTTGTTTTTTTATTGTTTTTTTTTTTTAAGGAGATCTTGGCTACTCATTTATTCTTTTCTGTTTACCATCACCATTATCAATGGATTGTACACCGGGTATTTAATAGAGTGTCAACCTGCAATATAGATAGTGTGATTTATTGTAGAAGAGCAAAATATCAGTTGACAAGCTGTATAATACCACAAACAAACATTCTAGTATAAAAATACATGTAACAGTTATTTAGACCCAATAACCCCTTTCTCTACGAAGACCATTATGTTTCCAATATAACATATGTTCAATATCATTCACATAACTAGCAAGTACTTAGTGAGTGGTGCATTCAGTGCAGCAGTACAGAATTGAGATATTTATTAATACCTCACCCCCCAATGGATATAGCATTGTCCTCAATGTAGAAGTAGACATGAGATAGTAAATTGATCGAGGAGGTCTTACCAACTCATGGCGACATCCGAAGCAAGGACCAACATAGTATTCGATATATATTTTTTTTTTTTGGATGCCCGGCCGCCGTGCGCGAGTGGGGCGCAGTTGCGGATTGGTTTCTTTGCCGATTCGAAACTTTTTTTTTTTTTTTGGATGACAGATAGATCTAAAAATAATAATACAGAAAACAACTCAAGATCCACATCTACACTAAAGGAAAAACCTACCTTGAAAGTGGAGAAGAGAAAAAAAGTGGTGATTCGCGAATTGTCGTCGGAGATTCGAGACGGAGAAGTTATAGGACGCGGCGGGAGATGGTTTTGGGGGGAAGAGAAAGAGAAGCAAAGGAAGAAGAAGATGGTGAAGATAGTGGGTTTGTGGGGTTTAGAGAGAGAGAGAGAGAGAGAGAGACAAATCTGAGAATGAGAGTGATTAGGATAGGAAGAGAGTGGGTTTGTGGGGTTTAGATAAGGTTTTTTTTTTCGAAAATAGGAAATAAAAAAATAATAAAATACGATTTATTTATTTATTTATTTATTTATTATTATTATTATTTAATTATATATATAAATAAATAAATAAGTAAATAATAAACAATTATTTTATTTATAAATTTTTTTTATATTTATTTATTTATTATATGTAATAAAAATTGTATATTTATTTATTTATTTTTAAAATTTATTTTTTTATTTATTTTTAAAAAAACTAAAATAAAAAAAATGAATTGTATTTTTTTTTAAGAGTGGGCCGCTCGTGCGGCGAGATTGGGCCGCTCCAGCGGCCGTAGACAGTAGCCAAATTGGTATGGGCCGCTCGTGCAGCGAACCCAACCGCTCGAGCGGTCTGGGCTGATCATTTTTTTTTTCTGAGCTGGGCCACTCGTGCGCCAAGTGGGCCGCTCGAGTGCCCTATTTGGACCGCTCCTGCGGCAAGTTTGGGCCGCTCCTGCGGCAATTAGACAGTATGCAATTTGCTTGGGCCGCTCGTACGGTGAGCCCAACCACTCGAGCGGTCTGGGCTTCTCCCCCCGTTTTTTTTTTTTTTTTTTTTTAACAAGTATAACACCCCATTATTATTATTATTATTTTTAAAGAACAAGTATAACACCCCCTCCTTTTTTATTTTTTTATTTATTTATTTTTTTGTTTTATTTAAACACAAAGAAATTAAACTAAGAAGCATGCTTTTTGACAAAAATCACAAAGTTCTAATCATCTAAAATTGCTCTTAAATATGACTGACACCATAAAGAGCTAAGCATCTCAGAAATTAGTTAATAAGAGATGTGCCACAAACTAAAAATAAAAACACACATCAATGCCTTACGCAGGCTACGGAGGGTCCCTTCCATCCATACACATGCAATGACCTTTTTCTGCTACATTGCAACAACATAGTTTAACAAAAACAAGAAGCACTCGCAAGCGTACATGCTTCAAGAAAATGGAAAACTAACTCACAACACCTAACAAAAGGCACCAAAGTTATGGCATAAAGTTGCCACTTCAGAATCCCCCAGGTAATAAAACCCAGCATAGTTT